CTGCATACACAGGCAAACCTGAACATTCACCTTTGAAATGACGGGAGAACAGACATGAATAATGTTGATGCCAAATTTTTTCTCGCACGTAAAATATTCTACTCTAAATTGTTAGGTATTAGTCACACTATCATTCACATTTCAAAATGTGACGTAACTTAAAGAGTAAAAAAGGTAGATTTACCGCATGTTATTGTTGAGCTGCTCTTAACATGACTGAAATACTCAACAATTACTTTTCGCGGTGGGCGTTATAAGTAGCTCAGAGCTTTGTCTCTGACTGAAACCAAGAGATGAACACAATTAACCTTTTTAAAGTCCATGAAATAATTTAAATTGATAGATTAACTTAAACATTTCCCGTCACTGGGGGAGGGTAATTTTACATGTTAACACATATTCATAAGTAGTCTTTGATTATTTTTTCAGCTCTACGTTGCAAGAATAAAATTACGAGATGATACTCTATATAAACACACATTTCGCATGTAATACATACACAGATCAAAGCATATAAAATTTTAAACCGCTACCATATTAGCATTTATTATGCATACTACATACAGTTAGTATCCACGATCTATGATAATGATACAAAGAAGAATGCCTAAGCTTCACTACCCTACTTCTGCTATCAGTGAGGTTCTCGGTAATAGTTTTGGTTATTACCTATTGCCATACATTGCAATTTTAACTACAAAAGGCTTTTATGCAAAGCACTGAGGTCATTGTTGCCTCCCTTCTTTTAACATATTTTTGAAAGTGTGTGGATGATGACTTCCAATGCCATTTTGAGTAACCCAAATACACATAAGCCCATGAAAATTAATTCTTAATTTTACTTGTATTTTACAGAATAACTGGCAAATTCACATGGACATGTGACTGGATGCTTCGTCTTGATGGAGCGATATTTTGTGAACATCCAGTTCATACAAATATGATATTTACTCCCAATATAGTGGTGTTTGCAGATTCGCTTAATAGTACGCAGAGTTCACCATTGTGTTTTTCTCGGTTCTCTAGATGTTTAAGTTACTTTGATAACTGTAACTAGCAACCATTATAAATCCCTTAGAAAAACCAATGTTGTATTACTGGCCTGATGATGATAAATTATCTGGACTTTTGCAGACAATTAAGTAAGCATAAGGTATAAGTTGTGTTTTGGGAAAGCTTCTAAACCCAGCTCTTATATTGCTTTTGTAGAACTAAACCCATACGAATTATCTTTTTTAACATTCCATGAAAGGTTCATGCTTGAGCTGCCATGAATGACGATGTTTTTGGAGTATTTTCGGTGACAAGTTGTTTAACCTTTTTCACTACTCCTAGTTTGTAATGGGTAGTTGATTTCGAAGTTTTGTTCTTGCCTTACAGATATGGTACAATGCATTAGCCATGCCTTCCTTTGAAACACTACAAGTGCGTTTCCTGCATGCTTCTAGTATAGCGGAATAAAATAACTTTGTGCCAGAAAGTTCTGTAATGTCACCTTCCCAGAAGAGACCAATTTTAGGCACCATCTACACTTGTAAAGCACCACACTTCAAAGCTTTGTAGTTACAAATGAATCGAGCTAAGGTGACCGTAAACACAAAATGTTACCATAGGTTACAAACGAACCTTTGTATTAATGAATCAGAAAACGCGATTCAGTGAATTTATAACAGTTAATATGATGAACTTGGCAACTGAGATTCAGTAAAATAATTACTATGTTGATTATACAAACATAATGTTCTTGAATAATTTAAAACCATGTTTTTCTACTTATTCCTAAATTTCCACTAAAATTACTTTACTGTTTCAAGCCAAACTCGACACAAACAGTTGGAACAACCGTCGTGGGAGATGACACCAAACAGCTGGAGAAATCTTCATACTCTTTCAGATGTGTTTTCAGATGAAGCTGTACATTTTGGGACACTCACTGTGAAATTTACTATGTTTTTTTTTTCTTCGAACTCTAAAGTAGATAAATAAAAAAAAAGAACAACTGGTAACATTGCACATATACACAGCGTGGTCACAAGTAAATAGACACCACCTTTTCAGAAA